GGTAAAATGAAGTTTTTAATTGTTACGATTTCATGACTGTTAACAATAATAATTACTTCTGGTGTTCTTTTAATAGATTTTCATTTCGCTCGTGGGCATATTTTAGCCCTTTTAAGCTTCTGATGCCTATTTTTAATATTTTATGTTGAATTTGCCTCTTTCTTCTTTTTTCTTTATTTTCCTAGTTTTCTCCTGGCACCGATCTCGATGAAGCTAGAAACATCTGCAAGCCTGGACAACACGAAGGCACGGGCGCGTTTTGTCTTTCTGTGGAAGCGGAGGCTCCAAGGTCAGGTATTGTTAAGAATTTAAATGAAAAAAGAAGTTGTTGGAAGTCATTTTTTTCATTTATGCCGTCAGACTTTGTTCACTCACGAGGAATCCCTTCCTACATTTACAAGTATAGCTTCCTTTTTGATGTGAGCTCTCAGTATTTGATGTATCCTTCTCTGCTCTGGGGATTACACTAGTGCGAAGATAGAAAACTATAACTTCGCACTCTCACTTCAGCAAATTCGTGATTCAAAAGTGTGTCCACAAAAGTATTTTGTAGAAATAGCGTCACGAGTAGAACAAATTCTAGTCGATCCGGATGGCCGAGATCGTTACGCAGACGTGTCGTAGCTATCTTTGACCGAAGGATCGCGGATTCGGCCCCCACCGTATTGTGTTCGTCCTTTCGCATTATCATTATCTTGCCATCCTCACCTTTACCTTACCGTTACAAGCAATAGTGGTCGCTAATTACCTAGTAGTTGATGCGACCTTAAATAACAACAACAACAACAAAAATGTTTAGCCGCGATTGCTGTAGTTCACCCATATAGCCATAGAGTTCAAAATGTGAGGGATACTTATTTTATATTCATCTTCAGAGCGTAGTTCGAAAGCTACTACGCGCAACTATGTTCTATTGCGGCAGCGAAAAAGTTAATGACAAAGTTTTTGTAAAAATAATGAAAAAACTTGTGTTATAGTAGGCCTACATAATAATTCTACGGTCAAATTTGCAATTTTGTTGTATATGTTTTATGTATGAACTACGTATGACCTCTCAAAATCACAAAAGTAGCTGCATTTCGCTGTAACTGCAATGCTGGCACGTGTTTAAATAAATGAGGTTTTAAGCCGCTTAATAGTTTCCTCATGATATGGTATGTATTTCTACAAATTATCAATAAAAACATTACATTACCGATTTTGAAAAGAAATTTGCATTTTATGTTTTTATTTTTCTGCCAAATTCGATCCGCAATTTTATTTCTTGAAATTTTCGACTTCATGTTCGTGATCAGCGACCTCCAAAACCCCCAAGTTCCACAGAACTTTTTAGTTAAACAAGTGTTTCACATTTGAAGCAGCGTTTTGAGATCTAGAATCACTGTAAGTTGGCCCAACGTTTCTACACACTAGACAATTTGTCTGGCAGTATGATGGGAGAAACGGTGGTCTCTTAGTAACGACCAACCAACCGCCCAACAAAAATGTATGTTTGAAAACTTGCCTCCACACGATGCAATTTGTTGGATTGACTGGCCGGTCGGCCGGACAAATTGGTACGTTTGTAGGGGCCTTTATATAATCGAAAATATTTATATTAAGGAGGAAGTTTATATTTTTTTATTATATTAAGGAGGAAGTTCGCAGTTTTGACTAAAATTTTCTGGAATAAATTTAAATCTTAAATAAAGTTACAATTGATTGATTTTTCCCAAATTATAGAAAGTTTGACTCAGGGATTATGAGAGTAAATATGTAAAAAATAAGTTGTATTAAATCCTTAAAGTGACTAATTGGCAATGTAAAGTTCTAAAATGTGCGATCGAAATGAAAGATTCGACTAAATCACTGACATTGTAACCAGGATGTGAAACAAAATTCTTAAATAACTAGAGGTAACCCATAAAAAATGACTAACAAAATCAAACGAATAACGTAAAGGGGTCTATGAAATAAACTCTAAAGTGGGCGATGAAAGAAAAATGTTTGGGGAATCTCTGTTTAGACGGTTAAAACAGCAATAATTCAAAATATAATACTTATAATTATTGACAATCTTTTTTAAAATGTATGAATATGTTACATTAAAATTATATTGGTCGTTAACGTGTTATTATCTATATTTACACTAATATATAGACAGAAGTGCGTTGTCTTACAGCGCAATAATCTCTGAATTTTAAGAACCAATGCCGATGAAACTTTTGTGTTAGCTTCCTTTAAAGCTCTGGAGTACTGAAGGTAGAGACCAAATTTTAATGTAATTACATATTTTTGGTCGTTCTACTTACCGATCTCAAAATTGTAATCTTCGCAAATCGTCGCCGTCCTAACACAATATCCAATTTTTTCGTTACATATTTTCACGTATTTAGTCATATATTACATACTTAACATATTTTAAATATTTACAAAAAATATTTTTTTATTCTTTCAATTTTATTATATATTTGTTTATGAGAAAAGTTTTTTCAAAAATATCAGCACATTTTCCTAGATTATTACTTCATGCTGTCTAGTGTCTACTTGTGGTACGTTACGTGAAGACGGATATTCTCACAGTATGGCGCACCTGCTTCAGTTATCTCAGTGGCGCGTCAGTGACAGATCATTTTCACCTTTGTGTGTGATTAGTATCACAGCTACGTTTTGTGATTTTGGTTTAATTTCCGGGAAACTTTGGCGATCGCCGGCGTGTAACTATTCGACGAGAATCCTGCACACACTGCAGTCATTATTTGCTGGTCGTAGATGTCACTAGTTTATATGATGACTTCTATTGTGTCTAGTCTGGCTACTAAACTTCGGTCCTGAATACAAGAATTTTTTACCATTGACGGGAAAGTTGTGTCGGGCAAAGTGCATCAATTTATGCTCTCCAAATTATTTTTAAAATTTGTTTAGGAAGATTTTTATAAAAGTAATTTTGAATTATGTAAATGATCGTTTTATTATTAGTGTATTTTAATATCACATGTTACATCCGATTTTACATATTTATTACATATTCTTAGTTTTCGTTACATAATTATGTACATATTTTAATGTTTCATACTACATATTTTTCCGGTCTCTAACTATGGGATATGATTTATAACCCTAAACCTTATTATATTTACAAAATAATTACGTGTCTGGACATATTTCGCCTAGCTTTACATCAGATTCAATTTCAATAGTTTAACTGCGCGCCACCAGGGGATAACGTCTGAGATCTACTACTGATTTCATCAACACACAAATTGCTTATTTAGAGGACTGTTTATTTTTTCTGTCAGTTGTCTAATACGAAATAATTATGTTTTTTTTCTCGACTTTATTTACAAAAGTAACTTGAATACTAGTTTTAATTGCGTGTAGGCGCGAGTGCATTAAGTGTACAAGAGCCGAAACGTTTGGAAGATATCATTTTCTGATGAATATGGTTAATATTGTAGTAAAAAGGTATGAAAGCCCACATGTGTAGTTTAAATTAAGAATAATTATTATGTATTTGCAAGTTCGGCAGCGACAGTGCGAGCGAATACACTAATTTACGTGTTAAGCTGAAACTAATGGATGGATGCATTTTTGTAGAGAAGCATTTTAATATAGTGTAGAGTGAAAGCGTACCTTTGGGTGATGAAGGAATGATAAAATTGATGAAAATTCGGCAAGAATATAATTTATAGTAAAACAACCGTAGAATTAAAGTAAAACAGTATTGGTAAATGGGTATTTGAAGGAATTGAATGTGTGACAACTATGGTTGTCCAGGTTGTTATTTTTGATAATAGAAAAAGTTTTGTCAAGCCGAGATCCACTGCGATCTCGAATTTTTGCAGATATAATTGTCTAACTGGTTGATGGCACCTTTCCGACAGCCACTATATATCAAGGATCCTAAAACACGTACCTGGATTCAATTGGGATTACTTTAATTATTTATAAACGTCAATTGATGGTGCAAGATCAATTTCAAACTTTTCTTTATAAATACGCGAGAAGAAAAAATATGAAAAAGTTTGTTTTATTATGTGGCAATTGTTTGAAATATTGGTATAATATATAAAACTCCACACAAAATATACGTGAGTGCATGCATTTTATTATTTTAGTTTACATTTTTTTAAAATTATTTTCAGTAATAAAGTGAAAGAAGTTTTAGGGCGGGGCCCCAGTAGGAATAAAACGTAAATAGTTTTTGGTGAGAAAGTGTTTTAGTGAGTACGAAGGCTAGGTATTTTCAGATTGGAGCAAGGCGGAGACAGACTGGGTAGGGCGGAGGGGATATATAATAGAAAAGATAGAAGAAGACTCCTCCATAGAGCGAGAATATATGGAATTCCTCTTTCTAATAAAAAAATCGTTATCGTAAATACCCCGGCAACAGGGAGTTCTTCAGCTAATAATAAAATATTAATGATAAATCTGATAAATTACATTCCGTACGCTTGATATGGACGCATGGCACAAACTGTCCTGAACTCATTCAAAAGCAGACTAGCATCAGAGAACGCTTGTTGAAAAATACTGAACGTCCACTCCGATATTTCTTGGTTCCCACGCGAGCCTCAACCTAAGTTCGACATTCTCACACATCCGTAGAACTATCGTTTGTTCTCGTGGCGACTGGTGTCCCAACAGTCTGGAGGGTGCCCCTCCATCGAATGACGGAAATGTGATCTCAAAAATTCAAAATACGAATATATGAATGGGTGAAAACCAGAAAGGTATGCCATTTTTTTAAATTCTAAGAAATCTGTTTAAGTCAACATTACTGCACGCTCGTGCTGTTTTATTGATTAAAACCACATTTCAATTCATTAAAACCATGAAAATACATTTTCACTAAAATATGGTTCAAAATAAACACGTTTTCTCTGAATTAATAAAATGTCATACTTATACCGTTTTGGCTTTAACCTATTCATTTAATAAAGTTTCAGCAATTCAAGTAAATTAATTAATAGTTAAATAGAAGTCCGTATTCAGAGCAGAGTGGTAATGGACAGTTGCCCATGATTCCAAAATGTAAAGGACTTGCTGACCAGAGAACCCGAGATGGGCCACTGAGAGGGCAACTGCCCTCTGATTCTTATAAGCGAGCTTCACCATATGGGGTGGCTGCAGTGCTTTCACACATAGATGGCCATGGTGATAGCATTCCATTTCGTTTGAGACACAAACATTGACTCAGATCGCAAATCTGTGCAGATATACTAGAAGGCTTTGTTTGGTGCTATTAATTTGCATATTTTTATCCATGAACGTCCCCGGGTACAATTAATGACAGACCAGAGACCCTTGTTTAGTGTTTTCAAGCAAAGCCCTAGGGTGGCTGAACACTTGTCGCCCAGGATTTAACGGTGGTTTCTAACAGTTGCGATGCACGACTATGAATTTTGGTACAGGATAAGCTGTCAATATGGAAATGCAGATGTGTTTTGAAACTTACCTCTTCCAGTCCACTCTGTGGATGAGTGCCCAGAACCCGTACATATACACCTGGAAATGCAGCAGGTATGCCAACAGCCAAGAGGTCGCGTTGGCAACAGGGTGACTAGGCGCTGAAAACTGTTTGTTCGACAAGAATGAATGACCGCGCAGTCCATCCTTCCAGAAATTACGTCAGTATTTACCATGGCGAGTTCACCTTTCTTCGCAGCAGGGATGTCTGCTTGGGCGACATAGTGTGGTCCCGGAAATGCTGCAAGAAAGAGTGCTCCGGATGCAACGCACGAAGGAATTGTGTCCATAAAGAAAATGGCTCCCTCTTAGACCTGGTGGTCAGGACTGGCAAGCGACATAGCGATGCTAAGCTCCATGTTGACGGATCCGTCCGGTATCCTACCAGTTGGACCCTTGGCGCGTCGACCTGTGGGCGAGATTGGGCGAAGGACGTTTTCCGGAAAGCTCCGGATCCCACATATAAAAGCCTACACGAAGTCCACGAACCGGAGGGTCATGTTGCCTAGATTTCGGCGGTACTCACGTCGATAGCATAAAGGTGGCTGCAGTGAGGAGACGGGAAGGGGAACCCGAGCCGCCCAGATCTTGGGGTGGTCTCCTATTGGACTCGCAACAATGGCTTCGTCGTGGCAGTGGCCCCGTACTCTGGGTATAGAGGACGGACGTGTTCCCGGCGCATTGTGAGTGACGCATTGATTCGACTCCGGCACAGACCTGGAAAACCGTTAGCTCTGAGCCTGGCAGGGGGGGGGAACCAAGGCATTGAATGGGAAGGTTCTAGTGAGACCCAAATCCCGCCTATCTTGTACGTACTTGTCCGTCGGCAGGGGGGGGTGCGGATAGAGGTAAACGCCTAGATGCCCACTCCAGGGTGAACCTCTGGTAAAATACAAGTGCGAGATACAAGCGCACGACAGACACATACACAGAGACCGACATGAGGGTCAGAGGATGAATATTCTAAGTTCTCCCTCGTCAAGCGGATGGAATCAATTGTGAGGGGCACTTTTTGAAAACTGTATCAAGGTATCATGGTTGGAGGTTTAGACAACGGCACTGAAAGTTTGCCTAACATGGAGTCTCATCTGTTTTTATTTTGGGAGCGGTTTAGGGAATTCCGAACCTTTCCCGTCCCTTGAAGGCAAGACAAAGGGTGATGAGTTTCCAAGCCTGCCTATTTCAGGTACTCAAGTGTCTGAGATGCATTCGTATTCTGAAGCGCTTGTAGTAGTGTTAGAGTAATAGTAGACATTTCTAAAACATGTGTAAAATAAAAGAAACGTCATAACATTCTGATACGAAAGCTTGTGAAACTTATGAATGTTATTCTTCACTTCCTATTCTCATCACAGCAGTTTCCTAGAGCTGTTGGTGGTTAACATCGAGAGAAGCTGAAGCAGTTCAGGAATATTGGATTTGTCAATGTAAAGCCTGATTAATATTAAGTAGTTTTATTTATTTCATATTATTTTCATTAGTAACAATATTTAATATTATTTTCATGAAATGTGAAATTTGTTAATCTCCCCCTATTGCTGAATATGTGCTGCGGATTGCAAGTGACTGTCTAAATGTAAGAATGGACCAAACAAATTAAGACATTGAACTGAGGTTCAGGAAATGAGTGTGGCGTAGTAAGATCAAAGTAAATAAATGTAATCCTGGAACAAAAAGTTCTACTATTTTGTAAAGTCCTTATTGAAGGTGTGATAATTGCCAGCTATTACGTTTTTGGATTTAACAATTCTGCAAAATTAGAAACAACCCTCGGATTCATACGAAGTTTCATTAATAACATAAGTACATTGCAAATGCATGTAATAAATGCATGTAATAAAACAAAAGCTATGTGGGACATTATTAAAAAGACTACAGCACCACCTTATAATGACAGAAAAAATATAGAGCTCCACTACAAAAACGAAACTGTACAAGACCCACAAGAAATAGCTGATATATTCAATGAAACACTTTCACAAATAGTAATAAGTTAATCTCTCAACACTATTCTAAACAATAAAACACACCAAACAAACACTAATAATTAACACAAATTGTAAATTCATATTCTTATATGAAACCACCCTCTCTGAAATTTTTAAGAAATCATTAGGACAAATAGAGATAAATTTCAGCAGGCATGGACGAACATTCCAGATTTTCTCATAAACACAGTGCTCCATGGAATAGTGCAACACTCTCTCACAATCTTGCAATTACTCTCAGAATCAGGCATATTCCAGATATATTCAAACAGCAAAATTAAACCTTGTTTAAAAAGGGAATAGGTTTGATCCCAATGAACCACAACCTGTCTCCCTATTATCAGGATTTTCAAAAATTCTGGAAAGGCTTTTCAATGATAGACTCAACAGTGTTCTCAATGCAAATAATGTCCTTACAAATGCACAACATGGCTTCAGGAGTAATAGATTCACAGTCACAGCCAATCTTCTCCTTTTTTAAATGGCATACTTGTTGCATCTAAATCAGAAAGGAGATCCCATTGGCCAGTTCCTTAGATTTCTCAAAAGCCTTTGATAACAATTGACAATCACATACTTTTAAGAAAACAGAAATGCGAGGGATTCAAGGTATTGCAGGCACAATGGATGGAAATCATATTTATCAAACTGTAGCCAATAGTTGCCCTCACAACACACTAAAGAAAACAAAATCTCCTCATACTACGTCCTGTCCTAAATAATAAATTGTGGAGTCCTGAAGGATCGCATCCTTGGCCAATACTATTCCTTTATACATAAATTGACAATGCCTTTTGCTTTAAAAGAACAACAAAATAATTTTGTTTGCAGATGACATAAAACATCATCATCAACAAAACACAATCATTAGAAAAAAACTCACAAAACATTGGCAAGCAACTAATTAAAAATGCGTTTCACAAAGGCAACAATTCATCATAAACACCAGGCAAGACAGTTCTCCCTAAATTTCATGAAAAAAAAAAAAAAAAAAAAAAAAAAATTCTCGATCTAATGAAAACATCCACAGCATTTGGCTCATAAACAATAACCTGTAACTATATCTCATGAAACTACCTTCCTCAGACTAACAATTCAAGAAAACGCTAAAATGGAACACTCACATCTCAAATCTTAACAAGCTCAGCAAATCTTGCTATGCCAATACACCTCAGGTCAAGCTCGCAACATTGAGACACTTGAACAATGTATTTGCAAATGTGCCATCTACGCAACCTAAAATATGGAAATAATATTCTGGGAAATGCCCTGAAGCACTCGCAATTTAATTATCCAAAAAAAGAATATTGCGAACAATGACCAGCACTCATAAGCTGGAATCTTGCAAACCCTTGTTTAATAAAATTAAAGATTCTCCTCTACCATGCATGTATATATTTGAAATAGTGGTCTCACAAAGAAAATTCGTCATGCGAAAACAAAGACATTTTACTTTAAATTCTGATGTTTCAACAACTACAACACCCTTCAAAGGATACCTTACATGTTACCCCCCACTCGTGAAACACACTATTTTTAAAAAAAGTACCCTAATAGCAGGCAGTACTTTACAACAAACTAGCCAATGATATCAAAGACATAAACACAATTCATACATTTAAAAGTAAAATTGAAAGATTTTCTGCCTTAACAACATGTTCTTACAGTGTTAAAAGAATTTTCAATTACATTGTGTCCCTTAAAAAATATAAATAAATAAGAATTTCTTATCCCATTAGACTTTTCTTTTCGTGTAAACTGTGTCAAGCTGAAGCAAAGAAAAAAAGAACTGCATAATCGCAATCCTAGTGAAATAGGAGAATAGAAGAAGAAAAAAACTGGTCAAAACTTGGCTCCTCACCGATTTCGTTTTTATATATAGAATGTTTCTACTTTGTTAAATTGATATAGTTTGCAAATCATAATTGATATGTATTGTTCCCAACATTATTATTCATTATTAATTATTATTATTATTATATTATTATTATTATTATTATTATTATTATTTTATTAATTATTATTTTGTTGTTGTTGTTGTTGTTGTTGTTGTTGTTGTTGTTATTTACCACTAAATTAAAAGTAATGTTTCATTAAATAACTTATTACTTACCATAGAACTTTTGAGATAGAATTGTTACATTACATCCTTAAGAATTTTTAATAAATAGGCAATTGGTCTTAGTTTTAAGTAACAGTAAACTTGCAATAAAGAAAACATTCTCAAAATGGGTATTGTTAAATAGAGAATGGATTGTATCCTTATGAATCAAATAGTTTTTTCTGATTTAGTAATTTCTAGAATGACCAAAGAAGATTATGTAATTATAATATTATCATCTAGTAATAGTATTACTAATAGTTTGTTTCACATTAAATCGATTTTCTTTCTCATTTTGTTCTTTTATTGTGTTTGTATCTTTCTCCTTTTTGTACTCGGTTCCTACTTATAAGCCAATGTATTGCCTCTGCCAATTATTTTTATTGTTACTTGTTTAACTGTATAAAAAGGTAATGCTGAATAAATATTATTTATTAACAATAGAATTATTACTTTCAGGGAAATTATGGAAATAAATACAATAGAAGGAGATAAAAGGCCTCAAAACGAAGGTGGAAAAAATTTGATTCTACAGTTTTTAAATTGTCCAAGAAGATGAACAAAATGCAATGAAGTGTGCATTGTAATAATTTGTGAATATTTCATTCTCAAGTGTGAAAGTATTGTATTTTTAAAGAAAATAATTTTTTGTATATAAATAAAAGTAAAATATTTATTCATTCTTCCACATTCAATAAATAAATAATATAAATAAATTCTTAGTAAAATCGATTCAATAATATTTGGTTTACAAGTTAATGATTATTTATACACCAATAGATATATAGATACTAGCAATAAAAAGCAATGTCGTTTTAGAAGTAGAAGAAATTGCCAGAAATTTCTGCATTACTTTTAATGTAAAATAATATGAAAGTAATTGTCAGGAATGCACATTAAATTTAATCTACATGTATAGTAAATTTAAAATACACTTACATTAAATTTAAAGTACACTGACAATTTTTCTTCATACATTTCGAACGGATAGTGGTAATTGCACTCTTTAAAATGATAAAGTCCATTTTGGTGTGTTTTTTTGTTTTACTACACAAAACTACACAAATGTAAATGTTTTGAAAGATCTCTCACGCCGTTGATACGCACAAGTTCGGGGAGGAACCCGTTCCTCCCTGTGGTGGGGCCTTATTTGTTTACGAAAGAGGCGAAACTATCATGTCTTTCTGGTAACATATTTTCCTGATCATGACAGACTAATATTTATGAGCAGGTGTTTTCAGTCAGGTATTCGTATCAATGGACTAGTGAATATTTAACTTTTGAGGGCAATTAATCTAAGTATTTAGCAATCAATTTGCATCTCTTCTCAAAATTTTTATTTTGCAAGGTTCGATTCAGGGACAATTCGGGGCCCTTCCCCTGCCATATTAGCACACATTTAGAAATTGTTTATAACATTATTAATAGTTGCAAAATTGTTAATTTGTGATTTTTGTCTCTGAGACATGGGGGAGACTCCCCGCTTTAGAATTGCCAAAATTGGAAATTGTTTATTAATTTGCAAATGTATCATTTTTATTGCCTCATCGAAATGGCTTTTTAACATGACACCAAATTCTGCAATCTGATTTGCGCTATCGCCTTTCAAGATGTGAAAATATTTATAAAAAATTAGCATCTCATTAGCACGATGTTTTGCAATCAATCCATGTGCTCTTTGCACACAAGTCTTCTGTTCAGATCGCACTCCAGTGCCTCGCTAGTGAATCTTCCAATTCGATTCAAAACGGTGGAGCAATAATGCTAATTACATTTTCAATCAAGAGCAAAGTGTTCTCTAAAATTCTTGTATTTTTAAATATTTCAAATTTTTAAAAATTTCAGAGAATGTTTTATTTTAGAATCAGTACTCAAGAGTTTACTAGTACAACATGTAAGTAAAGTTTCACCAAGAGTTTTCACAATGTCGTGAATATTACCCGACACCAGTTGTGGTAGATCTGGAAACAAATTTTCAAAAGAAAAAATGAGTAATAAAACTGAAAAACTTAATGTTTCGTTGAAATCATTTTTAAATCTTTCAAAGCAAAAAGAGCAGATTTTGTATATTTCACGTCACCTTCTATGAATACAAATATTCACTACACTTACGGGACAATTACCATAGCCGTTGACGCGCCTGGAAACACGAAATAATCCATTTTACTATAGGTTTTGTTTTGATAAATGGGCATCTATCAGGATAGGTTGGATGTGGTAATTGTAGTTTCGTTTTGAGTGTAACGGAGTAATGAGTGAGGATTGGGAGAATAGTTTTAGTAATTACGTTGGTTTTAATGGAAGTTTGTGTGAAGTGGTGGGTCAACTTGAGTTTTCTGGAGAACGTGATGCCTAGTTTTTTGTTGGTAGAAGGTGATGGCTTGGGATTTGGAGAGTTTATAGTGACGGAATTTTCGTTGGTCCAGAAGATTAATTGTGGGAAACTTTTTGTATTTGGTTTAGGGAGCATTCAAGCGAGCGGTAAGAAGCTACGAAGGCAAGGTCATTGACCTAGTAAGGTTTTAACCCTGAGGGTGGATGGGTCGTCGATGGGGAATAAGAAGAAAACTCCAATGAGTTAGCACAGTGTCTTGTGGGACGTCAGTTTGTTTGGAGTAATTCGTAGAGGGTTTTTTTGTTAGATATCGAATATGGAAGGATAGTGAGTAAGGTAGTTTTGGAATAGGGAGAAAAGATTGATAAAGAAATGTGGGCGGAGTTTCATTAAAACGATATTCTCGGGATTGCGGGAAAAAGGCGGCGTGGCTCTACTTTGTGCACCTGTTTTGGCCACTCTCCTTGTGATAGGAGGAGTGGAGCAAAATCCTGGTCCCGATGTACAGGAGGCAGAGGCGACGTGCTCCAAATGTAATAGGAACGAGCGGAAAATTAGAAGACTGGAAGCGGATTTCGCTCAGGCCCACAATTATATTGGAGAACTGACGTTAAGAATCAGGGATTTAGAAGACGTCAGCAAAGGAAAGGAAAAGCAAAATGTCCGCGTCCTATATGAAAAAGAGAAGAGGAACGAGCGGCCAAATATAAGCGAGTCTCTTCAGCCAGGTGATCCATATAGTAATGTGAAGGTTCTAGGCGACTCGATGCTGCGGCACAGCGGCGGAGTATTGAAAAAAAAGGTGCCGACGTATCTTTTTTTCCCGGAGTAGATATTGCGCGAATGACTTCGGTTGTGAATAAAACCGAACCAAATGAACAGACAGAAGTGGTTATAGCGGTACTAGCTTCATGTAGGAACCAATACGCGGAAACGGCAACCTGTTTACGACACAATTAAACAATATGTCGAACTAGGGCATAAAATCCGATCTAAATTTAAAAATGAGAGGGTAATTGTTTCCCGAGTTATGCACCGGAATGATGTCCACATTAGTAAAACGCGGGACGTGAATTGTGGATTGCTATGGGCTTGAGAGGAATTTGAAGGGCTGTTCGTTGATCCCTGTCACTGGCTCAGGCTCGAAGACCTAGGACGGGACGGCCTTCATCTCAACTTCCGAAGTGCATGGAATCTGGGATATGTTCACGACCAAGTAATATGGTCGTATTTACTTGGAAAGTGGCGACTGGAGGAAGAGGCAATGATGGCGCCAAGGGCACTGATGGTTGCGAGAAAGGAAGCGACGCGTTTGGTGACTGCTGCGGGGGAGGTGTAACGGAGACAACGCGCGTGACTGCAGCGGGGGAGGAGACCGAGTCAATGCGGGAGACGACCGCGGCGGGGGAGGAGATGGCAGTGACCGCGACACAGGAACCTAGGATGGACGCACGGATCCCGAACACTGACTTTCAGGTGGGAAGAGGCTTCGCTAGATTGTTGCAGGTGAACTGTCGTAGTATCATGAATAAGGAAACCGAATTTTGGAATTTAATTGAAGCATGTGATCCTAATGCCATAATAGGATCAGAGTCTTGGCTTTCGGACGCGGTGGCAAACCCGGAAATTTTTCGTTCAGACTACATTACGTTTTGGAGAGATCGCGAAACCAGAGGCGGTGGTGTCTTTATATGCGTGAAAAACACATTTCATATCAGATAAAATTGGGTTGATAAAGAATTTGAAATGACGGGTGTAGAAATTTTCCGTTCAGGAAGTATCTTAGAAATTATTGCTTGCTATCGTCCACCGGGCAACAGCTATGAAATCTTAGGCGCTCTCTACGAAAGAACAAAAATATAAATAACCGTCATGTAGTTAGTGCTGGAGACTTAAATCTCCCAGACGCAAGTTGAAAGGGGATTGTATGCGAAGGGAAAATACAACAAGTAGTCAACCGACTTGTCTGGGACAGCGAATTAGAGCAGGTAGTAGACCGGCCGACACGGCAAGATGCGATTCTGAATATTTGCCTAATTAGACCGAAAGATTTATTCTTTTCGTGAGACGTTTTAGAAGGTATAATTTACCATAAAGGCGTTTTAGTCGATTTACAGTTCAGTATTTCAAAGAAAAGTATTACCACCGGTATTCTAGTGAAGGAATACAAGAAAGCAA